CCCCCCCCCCCCCCCCCCCATGGCAGCAGTGGCTGTCAGGCACTCAAAGCCCGCTGCTGTCAGAGCCCTCCCCCAGTGTGGTGCTTATCAGGGGCTCTGGCCCATCTCGATGTGGCATAGCGTGGCATGAGGCTGTGCACCTTTGTGCAGCTCTGGGCCACTCGGGCTCTCACTGAGGGGCAGGTGCCACTCACAGGGACTGCGTGTCATGCTGGTCCATATTCTGCCTCGACAGGTCCCATGCACCATCAAGCCAGGCTGGTTCCAGGGAGGCAGGACCTGGCCTGGCATGACACACAGTCCCTGTGAGTGGTGCTAGCCCTTGGGTGACAGTCCAAGCAGTCCTGACTGGCAGAAAGGTGCACAGCACCACACAGTGCTGCACCAAGCTGGGCAGCATGAGCAACAAGTGGCACAGGCAGTGCCACCTCTGAGGCGGCTAGTTCCTCACTGCCCTGTGGGGAACCTCCAACAGCAGTGGGACCTGAATGCTTGATGGTCGCTGCTGCTGCGGGGGTGAGCTGTGGGCCCTGTGGGGGGGTCTGGGGCCCTGTGGGGGCACAGTCCATGTGCTGTGTGGGGGGGTGCTGTGCCCTGTGGTGGGGCACCTGAGCACCCCCCATATATAGTTCCCTCACACCCACAGTCCCCCATGCCCCCCATGCCCTCCCACATCCCAACACACCCACCCACATCCCCCCACCCCTTTCCACCCCACTTCTGCAAACCCCAGATCCCCCATCATACACCCATTGTGCCCAGCTGCCAGGCAGGATGAGGCATGCTAAAAGGAGCTGTGGCTGTAGGGGCAGCTGCCCTGACATCTTTGTTAGTGAAGGGGTCAGGGAGAGCTCTAATTTTTCTATGATAAGAAAACCAAAAGCAAACATCAAAACATATAGATACTTACAATTTATTTTATTATGATGATACAGACACTGGTAGGCTTCCAAATTGCTTTAAACTTGCAAATATATCAATAAACATTGCACAACTGATATCTCTCTCTTTCTCATATATATATATTTAGGATATTTTTATCAGAGATTTTGTAGTTTTTAAATAGGGAACACCAGAATTCCTGCTAGTGAGGCAAGTGTCAGGACCCAGGCAGAGGAGCCTGCTCATGGCTGGCACCTGGGATCCAGCTGGAGGTGACTAATCTCCTGGTTGCTTGGGTCCAGGAGGACATGCTTTGACAGTTCAAAGCAGGCCACCACATTGTCCAGGCTATAGCTGCCCAGATGGCAGGGCAGTAGCACACATGGCGGTAGTGCTGCACAAAAGCAAATTGTGCAGCCACAGTCCTCTGGCAGCTGTCCCAGAGATGCAGATGTCTCTGCTGTGGCTGTGCAGTCCCCGTCTAGATCTGGCAGGCACGCAACCCTGGGGCCACATTCTGTCACAGGTGGCAGCAGGTCATAGCCAGGCAGCAGCCCCCACTGCCAGGCTGCTGCAGTGGGTTAAGGGTGCAGGGGACTCTCAGGGCTGCTTCAGCACTCCAGCTGACACAAGGGGCTGGTGTCTCCAGATACCAATTGGCTGGTTCCCAGAAGCTCTTGTTTATTTCTATCCTTCAAGTACCATGGGCCCTAAGGCCCACCCATCTAAATAAGAGCCCTTACTGTGTGAGGCCAATGGGTAGAAGATACAGCAGAATTCTTGGGATGACAAAAGCAAAAAACAGAACAGGAGTGATACAAGGTCAAAGGGTCAATATGTGAGAATGAGTGCTCCTAAGGGAGATACCAAGGAGAGCCCCCTAGGTCATACCCACCAAACCTCAAAGGCCACCCAGTGGTGATTTCCTCAGAGGTGTGTGTGGACCAGTGAGATGAAAGCAGCCCTGTAATCCCTGGGCACCTTCCTGGCCAGAGTCTTCTTCCTGGTCATATACCAAGACCTACTTGGCCAGGGCCAGGAGGAGGATGACCAGGAGGTCCTGGGACTTGGTGGGGCCATGGATGGGGGTGTCCCAAAATAAAAAGCGGGGGGTAAAGTTCATCCAGAACCTTAGGAGGAGGTTCCAGAGGTGGAGGTGAAGGGGCTGCATCCTGGCATACCTGAGTGTCATGTTTGCCAGGGTTTCCCTCTTCCCACAGAAGGGGCAGGAAACTGGAGTATCAATAAAGCTTTTCACATACATACCCATGGCAATGGCTCCATGGAGGAACCATCAGCTGAGGTCCACAGTGGCTCATGGGATGAGGGTTGAGTACAGGCTCAGCCACTGGGGCGCCCCAGCTATGCCTTCACCAAGCAGGCCCTGCCACTTGGTGTCTGGGTGGGATGTAAGGGCGGCATGGTGAATCACATGGCGCATGAGTGTGTAGGTGGCAATGGACAGTGGAGAAGCGGACCGGTTTGGTGTCCTCCAGCTAGCTCAGGTGGTGAAGCAGGGAGCCCCAGAGGCTCCTGAGAACAAGTAGCCCTGAGCTTCTTGGCAGCAGCTTTCTATACTGCTGGGGCCAGCACAGGGCAGGTTTTTATACAGCTGGGGCCAGCACAGGCTCTAGCTCACCCTGTCTGCAGATTTGGGAGGAGCTGGACAGGGTCATTTTGCCCCAAATGACATAACTTGCCCCTCACCAAAGTGTATATCTGGGCACATGCACTGAGCCAAAATCTCTGGCACAAATTTGTGCCTCTCCTATTTGAGCTACTGCAAGCTCAAGTGCCTGCATGTGTGTACACACCCACTGGGTATTTTATAGTCCTGTAATAATAAACCTGACTATAGCAAAAATTCACAGTTGGTCTGAGCTGTTCCATTTTGCTTTTTTTTTTTTGGAACCAAAACATGAAGCATGATATCTTTACCATAACAAAAATTAATTAAATTGATGATACCAGAAACTTAGAAGATTGTCTGTCAGGATCTGAGCCAGGGAATCTTCAGGAAACATTTTGAGACCTTTTAATTTGGGCAGGCTTTCACTGGAGGGGTTAAGTTTTGCAGCACCGTTTGTGAAATTTCTTGTTTGGTGTTTACTCATACTCCTCTAATTTAATATTTTATCTGTTTTTATAATTAACCTTGCTTTTATTGTAAACTGCCTTGAGCCTTTTCTGAGGAGAGTAGCATACAAATCTAGTGAATACATATATCTTCTGCAAAGCCCCAAACAATGTATGGTGCATATTGTGTATGTACATTCAGCAACTAGCGTTCTACATATAATCCTGTTGACTTGTCACATCAATAGCTGCTAAAATTGACACCATGTAGATTACATATTTTAAATACAAATATTCTGAACTTTTGGGCTAAGTACAGACAGTCAAAAAGCCTGAGGCTGAATCAATTAAATCCTCACACGTTAATCCAAGCTACATAGATTGAACAAATAAATGAACAGATATTTACTTTCGATTCCATAAATCGTGGGGGCCGAGGCCAGAAGCCGGGGGGCACTAAAGCACACCTGCCTGCTTGGCTGGAACAGATAGCTTGGGGCAAGACCAGCCTGTCCACCCTGTGGAGGAGCTGGGGTTTGCAGGGGAGGTGCAAAGCATCCTAGCATTCTGGGGGACTATTAGTTAACTGGAATCTGGAGGGGTTCTGGGACAGCAGTTCAATAAACTGATTTAGTCTAAATAAGTCAAGTCTGATACTACATCCATCCAGGTTTATCGTAAACCTGTTTCAGCCATTTTGAAAGTGGTTCATGTGCACTGAACGTATGTTGTATTATATATTTGAACTGGTTTCTGATCACTTATACCAGTATGCATGTAATTTCTGTCCCTAGCCATAGTGCTTGTAGGCATAAAAATGTGTTCTGTAAGAGGGTTCCCGTGTGTACAATAGACTTTCTAGGACTGATCCAGTGGTCTATCAGAAATACCTCCTATTTCCTAGTTATTGTTTTATTAGCTGTAAATTAAGGAAGGCAGAGCTCTAAGAATGTAACTCTTATTAACATACTGAGAAGCCAGAGTTACATAATGAGGTTTTGCTCCTTGCCTCAAATCAAATAGCAACAGGCATCCTGACTCTTGAGGTTCACTGATCCTAGTACAGTTATCTGTACATAGTATTGTGTTTTTTTTCTTTGATTTGACAGTATTTTATCACCTGTCTCAAAAAGCCATTGCTGGAAAATCATGTTGGACTTTGAATAAAAGGGGAAAAATATTAATGAAAAAAATCTTGATTAAATGGCTACATGTGACCAGAATATAATGCTACCATGTCCATTTATTCTGAGAATATCATTAATACTTAACAAATAGCTGGAAGGCTAAACCTACGCTTAGTTGTGATGTGAAATAATAAAAAGAAAATGTAACCTTTCTGCAATTTCCTTTTTGCAGATACTAGCTTCTAGCAATTTTTGACAACTAAAGCTGACAAGAGGCTTTAAACAAGACTTGGGCTCTGCAGCTTTGCAAAGTACAAGAAAATCTCCCTTAATTCTTCCCTTATTACCTTGATGATGTATATGAAATTTTCAGCTGTACATGACTGCTTCTATCCTTAGAGTTTTTCTGTTTGCCAGGATGCTGTGTGAGAAGAAATTAATACTCCCTAGGCCCAAGGAAAAAATAATCTTCCCCTGACTTAAAGTGCATTTTCTGTCTAAAATGACAATGCAAAAATGACACTGCAGTTGAACACTCTCAGGAGTGTTCATGAAGTGCTTGGTAACTTCCAGGTTCAGGTCTTTAATTTGATTAAACTGATGATGGAATTCTGTGGTAGCTATCCGGGTCATGTTAACTACTGTTAACGTATCATATTAACTATTGGTGGAACAAGAACTGATCCTTGGAGGACCCTGCTAGAAACATTCCTCCTTGCTGATACCTCCCAAGAACTACATTTTGAGAACTCTCAGTCACCCAGTTTTTACCCATGTACATGATGTCATAACTGCATTTTCAACCAGACCTTTAATCCTAAAATATTTCATATTCCCAATATATTTAAAAATCCCTTCTCTTTAACCCTATGGGTTGTTGAAATTTCATTACAGTGTTTGGCTTCTGCTGTCAGATGCCTATTTTTTTTATTTCTATTCATTGCTATTTATTTCCCTAAACTTTATTTTATTTTATTTTATTTTATCACCACTTCCATATCTTGTAACCTAAATATTTTTTCTTTCTGTGTATGTGTGCACACACATGTCTGTGGAATCCTGGCTTTGGGAAATCCAGTTGGCTATCCATGAACAATTCCCAGTCACTGTGGGCACATCTACATGTGCACATTTACTGCACAGTAATTTGGGTTACTGTACACTAACTGAAAATTACTGTGTAGTATGGGTACACATGTAGACGTGCATGCCTATACTTCATAGTAACTACGGCAATTTAAACATTTAGCCCTGTTTAGTTACTGCGCAGTAAAGCACATGTAGTCACCTTACTGCATAGTAACACTGTGTGTATGGACTGACTTGAGACTATTTTAGTCCCAAGACAGTCCACATGCAACGTTATTGCACTTCAATAGCTGCATGTATAGACAGCAGCCTACAAACCACTTCCTGTGCAGTAAATGCACATGTATACATGCCCCGGTAGTACTTTCCATTCAGTTATAGGTCAACAGCTGCTTGATATTTTGGAAATTGGTCAATATATATAGTATGGATTCTTATCAATGGTGATCGTGCTTATCTAAGGAGTAGTACAGATTTCAGCATACACTGACTAGAACATGCCTACAGAATCTGAGAATTATAACCTAGCTCTTTGATATGGCTTCCATAATTTTCTCAGTTATAACCACTATACTGTATGTAAAATGGGGCCATTCAGCTATATTTAACCCACTGTTATCCTCCTCCTACTGGCTGATGTACAGAGGATAACAGCCTGTGTTTTATGCCACCCCATGCTTGTAGATACATTCAGGACAAATACTCCGGATATTTACTGAAGTGCTATGAGATTAAGATTCAAACCCTGATAACTATGAAGTTTATCAAACCTAATTTTCATGTTTTGAGGTAGTACAGGAAATAGCATACAATAAATATGAACAGAATGCTGTTGAGATGGCAGAGCAAAGCAGATAAAAGTGCTGTAGGGTTAGAATTCATATTATTGTTTGTGTAATGTTTATTTTGGTCCCCTTGCAAGCGTGCATTCTGACAGAGTCTTCAGTTACTTGACTACATGCTATTTTTTCCAGGGGGCTCTGTTCAGTGCTCAGGGACTGAGACAGCAGCCGTTTGATATTTCTTTCTATTCTTCTCGTGATGAATGCAGAAGTCCTTACCTGCATTTAAACTCTGCACTGCATTTAAAGTTATTACTTTTTTCATTGGCTTCTGGGTGCTGTAGTGTGCCTGAGTGTGCAAATGCAAACAGAGAATCCATGTGTAAGTTTGTTAGAAGTCAGGAAGATAATAGGAGAAAGAGCAGGCCAGTGTTTTTCTGATATAGTCAATAAATCTGACTAACATCTTTCTATTTCTTCAGACAGTATGGAAATAGGAAAAAACCTCCAATGGATACATTGCTTGCAATAGAACAGGCTTATTCTAGTTACTACTCTGATGTAAAATCTCACATGTCTAGAAACTAATTAGAAAGTATTGCTAGCAATCTAATGAGAGGTAACTTATTTGGTTTTTCATTGCTAGAAGTTACTTCAGCAAAATGTCTTGTAAAGCTATTTTAATGCCTTGTCACAGTGATGGAAAGAGCTGTGCAGAAGGGTAATGGTTGTGTACAAAGAGCACAGTGACTTGAGGAAAATGCTTCTGCAATCAGTGTCCCTCTTTAGGATGGGTAAGTTTGTTTCCTTTTTCTGCCTTCTACAAATATCTACAATCAGAAACACAATTCCCTGTTAGCTATTCCTCCAATCCAGTTGTGATATCATTTATAGTTATGGCAGCTATACAGATCACCTGTATGATACTGTGCTTGATAGCATGGGCCTGATTATTTTGAATATTTAGATTCATTCTTAATATTAACAAATCTGCAATGCCATGTTTCTGCTTAGAAAATAAAAACACAAGACAGCTACTGTTGTTCTGTCCTTTGAAGAAAGGGTTAATCAAGAAAATTGGCAAGACTTTGATGGGCTTATTAATCTCATTTGTGCAGTCTGGATTTGGCACACTAATCAAAGGAAATGCACTCTGGAAGTAGCTCCCTAAGAATGCGCCTCCACAAAAGTCAGAAGCTGTTGCAGAGAACATTCTGCCTCTCAGCTCTGACTTCACAGAGAAAAGAGGATGTTTTCAAAGAGTATCTCCTACCAGGATATATAAAAAAGTAGACCTAGAAGGAGTCCTGCTATGTTTTAAATTTTTTCTCTCAAATCATTTTTTCCAATTTGCTACATGTTTTTTCTCTACTTCTCAGTGGTGACTAGGATTGAAATTCCCCACACCCCAGAATCTCTGACTTGACCTGATGGGGCCATTTGAGGATTGAGAAAATAGTCCTTTCCTGGCCTGCTCACACCTGCTGTTTCTCATGTTGCTTATTGATCATAATAGGGACAGCTGGGGGTAGATCTTCAGAGGCACTACAGTGATGTTTTGCACAGCACTGCAGTGACTGTCTCCTGGGCACTCAATCACCTGCCACAATCTTCAGCCTCAAGTTAGGTTCCCAAGCTCCTCATAGGAAGGATCCACATAAAACAGTTGAACTGGGAAGTCACCTAACCTAGTCAGGAGTGAAATGCAGAGGCAGGAGGTGGTTGGGTGCCTGACCTGACCAGTGATGGGCACTGGAGATCTTCTAACATCATCTTTCTCTGGAACTAGGCACCCAGATCAACTCATCATTGGTTTCCCAGTCACAAAAATGAGATAGAGATTCCAATATACCCCATAACATACTGGTTAGTGTGCACATCTGGGATGTAAGAGCCCCGGGGGCCACAGCTGATTGTCCTTGGTTTGTCTGATATGGAATAAGACTTGCATTTAGTTGTCCCATATCTGAGGTAAGTCCCTAACTACATTAACTTCCAGTCTGTACA